CCCCAAAACCCCAAAACCCCAAAACCCCAAAACCCCACAATTTATTAGATTTATTGAAAAGTTTCATTATGGAAAAATATTACGGCAGACTTAAAAGATTAGGCGAAGATATTGTCAAATTTGCTTTTAAAAATGAAGAGGAGATGGAAGAACCTGATATTACTGAGCACCGCTTCGATGATTTTCTTGAAGAACTAAACGAATTAGGGGACCTTAAAGAATACAAGAAGTTGTCTCATAAATAAAGAAATCAACATCAGTAAGAAAAAGTTGCTAAAAAAGGCAATGAAAGCTTTAGATCCAGAGTAACTTTGAAACTTTATTTCTAGATATGTGGAAAAAGTAACTCTTGATGAAATAGAAAGAGATGTAGAATGGAACAAAAGAATTACTATATGCATAAACGGATACATGAGTGATAATGCTGCAAATGGGAATTGGAATCCAGCAATTACTTCTAGACCCAACGATTTGATCTATGTCTATCACTTCCCAACAATTGTTGCTTTGATGGAAGATGAAAAGGTTCAATTATCTGATTTCTTTCAATGTAATTTTCTTTCTAATATTTAGTTAAAGCAAAGAAAATATGGAAGATGTTGGCCAAGGAAACCAATAAGTTCACAGCAGCAGTTGAGTTAGCACAGAAAAGTGGAGCATTACTAGCATATCTAATCTGACTTGATTTCCCTCAAAAATATAAATAAAGTTGACCTTATTGGGTTCAGTCTAGGGACTCAGGTTATCAAGAGCTGCCTAGAAACTTTGAAAAAGTTAAATGTGACTAGTATCATTGACAATGTTTATTTTATGGGAGGTGCAACTTGGTTGAATATCTCAGATGTTGATATATTTGATACAGTAAATACTTCTGTAAACCATTCTTACACAAAAAGAGATCATACTTTAACTCTTTACGAATACCACCAAATTTATTTTGGCAAGAAGAGCAAAGAAGAGCTAAAAGAAGAATCGAAGGAAGAAGAGAAAGAGAATGATGAAGATAGTGATTCAGAGTAAGTTTAATTACTTATCTCTAGTGAACCCCAATTAAAACAGAAGACCAAGAAGAAGCCAATAGGCAGAAGCAAGCTTAATGAAGAAATAGGTAATCTTAGATCCTCATATCATAGTTATCGCTCTCGAAGCCAAAGGATTGAAAGTTAATCAATCCAAAGTTAGTGACATCGTTGGAGAACACTTGTTTTATTGGAAATATTTGGATGAAATCCTCGAAAGAATGGATTTTGGAGATGTTCAAAGCGAAACCGATAGCGAGAGCGATTAAATTTGAGAGCAGAAGATTCAATGGAATATATTTTTATCGGGGTTTTGGGGTTTTGGGGTTTTGGGGTTTTGGGA